TATACTCTGTATGCAGGCGCTGCTGGAATGCTGCTACATAGAAAGAGGAGTGTTCAAAGTTGCTCGCGGCGCTTCAATGTTTGGTTTAAACTATAACATAAAGGGCTATATATGTATCTTTCTTTATATTGTTGTTAAATTTATACCGTAACCCGAGTATACAATTAAAGTAACAGTTCCAATTCAAAGCTGTTTAAGTTTATCATATCTAGTTGCACAATGATTATATTAGTTGTCTTGTTAGAAACTACCAACTAAATATCTAGCACTGATAAAAAAAGAAATTTTTTTATACCAAAAAGTAAAAAAAAGTTGTTATATCAATTAAAATTCAATTGAAAAACTACTCTGTTATCATGGTTTATGAAATTCAGTGTTTCTCATTAAAATAATTTATAAATTTAACAAAATTAAGCTAGGACATAATATAATGATATTAGTATGATAATAGTCCCAGAGTTGAGCAACTTTAATTAATAAATTGAAACAATGCATATACATGAAAATATACATTATTCAAGTAGATCAAGTATTAAATGCACGTGGAAAGTGTAATTTTTGCTTTTGGGATCAATATTCTTCTGAATGGGTGGACAGGGGGTACCCTTCTCCCACTTCCCGCCCCCTATCTCCCACCTCCCACTTTTAGAATCTTTTTTTCTCCCCCACCTATTTGTTGTCTCCCACCTCCCTCAAAAGCTGTCCACTCTTCTCTTCTGCCAGCTGCGCCATTCATGCGTCCGTAGTCATTGTCATAAGAATCAGGATTTCGTTCATATCTGGCCCGTTTCCGATGAATCCTGTACAAATATTTCAATGGCCGACGAGAACAATTACAATAAAATGCTCCGCAGGGCGCAGCTTGATACGACCGCAGAGGTCGAACCCTGAACAGTTGGGGCAAGTATGGACACAACATTCAAGCTTGATACAGCTTTGCATTTGGATTGTGATTAAATATTTGACACAGCATAGGTTTCTGACACAGAATGAATGTGGTCTAAGAACTTAAAAATTTTAAATTGGACATTCACCTATTATGGTCCAATATCCAAAATCTAAATACATGGTTAGATTCAGCATATCAAAGAACCCCAAGAATTCAATTTTTGATGAAATCAAACAAAGTTTAATTTTGGACCCTTTTGACCTCAATGTGGACAAAGTTGATAACGGGGCCCAAAAATCAAAAATCTAAATACACGGTTAGATTCAGCATATTAAAGAACCCCAAGAATTCAAGAATAAAACCCCATTGAAATTGGTCAAGAAATAAGCAATTTATACGAAGTATCTTCTTTTGCACAATACTGTGCAATTAAATATTTCTTGCTATTGCGCAATACTGTACAATTGACAATTTCTTGCCATTGCGCAATATTGTGTTATTGGATATTTCTTGCTATTGCGCAATACTGTGCAATTGAAGATTTCTTGCTATTGCGCAATACTGTGCAATTGAAGATTTCTTGCTATTGTGCAATACTGAGCAATTGAAAATTTCTTGCTATTGCACAATATTGTGCTATTGGATATTTCTTGCTATTGCGCAATACTGTGCAATTGAAGATTTCTTGCTATTGCGCAATACTGTGCAATTGAAGATTTCTTGCTATTGTGCAATACTGAGCAATTGAAAATTTCTTGCTATTGCACAATACTTATTATATAATAATTTACACATCCTGTTTGGTGTGTATCTCCTACCATATCATTATTATTTGCTTTTAAATATAAATCAGAAATAACCAACTTAAAATGGAAAATTTTAAAAGAAAAAAAAAAGGAAAAAAAGAAAAAAAAGGAAAAAAAAAAAAATCCTCCCCCAAATTTTCTTAACCCCCTTATGATTCATCACCCCCAAACTCAATCCCAGCCTTCCCTTTGTGGTATGGTACCTTGCAGTACAATTTCAAAGAGATCCATACACTTGACTTACTTGACTTAATCCTCTTCATTCCTTGTGGAACATAGGGCTGCCACAGTCGCTTTCCACCTTACTCTATTTTGGGCAATTCTTTTTGCTTCGTTCCAGGTATATCCAATCTCCTCCAGCTCCTTGCGCCTTGATCTTCTCCAGCTGTGAAATGGTCTCCCCGGTCTCCGATGTCCTTGGGGGTTCCATTCTAATGCTTGTCTAGTGATGGTACCTACAGGTTTCCTCAAAGTGTGCCCAATCCATTGCCATGTTCTTCTCTTTAGCTGTTTAATTGCGGGTTCCTGGTTGGTCCTTTCCCATAAGCATTTGTTACTTATTGTTTCTGGCCACCAAAATTTACAAATTTGGCGCAGGCATTTGTTGATAAAAACCTGGATTTGATGTTGTACCCCTGCTGTAAGTCTCCAGGTTTCTGCTCCACAAAAAAGGACTGATTTTACATTGGTGTTGAAAATTCGAATTTTGGTGTTTTCTGTAAATGCTGTTGATTTCCAAACTGGCTTCAGCATAGCAAAGGCTTGTCGAGCTTTACTTATTCTTGTCCTAATGTCTGCATCTGTCCCACCCGTTCTATCCATGATGCTTCCTAAATAAGTAAATTGGTCTACTTCTTCAAGATCTTCTCCTTCAATTGAAACTGTTCCTCCTTTTCTAGTCTTTACTTTCATAATTTTTGTCTTCTTAATGTTGATTTTTAGGCCTAGTTTTTTTCCTGTTTCATGGAGTTTGGTGGTTTTGTCTCTCATGTCTTTCAAAAGGTGAGATAACAGAGCCAGGTCATCTGCAAAATCTAGATCTTCTAGCCTTTGTGGGAAGTTCCACTGTATACCTCTTGGTGTAGTATCTAGTGCTTGCTTAGTTACCCAGTCTATAGCTATCAAGAATAGTGTAGGGGAGAGTAGGCAGCCTTGTTTCACACCAGTATTTACATGTAAAGGGTTGGTGAATGATGATTCATGTATCACCTGTACTGTGAAATCCTCGTACAATGCCTTGATCATGTTCACAATTTTTGTTGGTATACCATAATGCCTTAGCAGTTGCCACATCCCTTCTCTGTTGACACTATGATCGAATGCCCTTTCAAAATCGACGAGGCAATTACCCCCATCATCAATCCCAGCCTTCCCTTTGTGGTATGGTACCTTGCAGTACAATTTCAGAGAGATCCATACACTTGAACACAAGTTATTGTCTGGAAACTAGAAAAATGTGTTTTTTGGCCCCTTTTTGGCCCCAAATTCCTAAACAATTAGGGCAATTACCCCCAAACTTAAACCCAGCTTTCCCTTTGTGATATGGAACCTTGTAGTACAATATCAGAAAGATCCATACACTTACACACAAGATATTGTCCTGAAACTAGAAAAATGCTTGTTTTTTGCCCCTTTTTGGCCCCTAATTCCTAAAATATTGAGGCAATTACCCCATCATCAATCCCAGCCTTCCCTTTGTGGTATGGTACCTTGCAGTACAATTTCAGAGAGATCCATACACTTGAACACAAGTTATTGTCTGGAAACTAGAAAAATGCTTATTTTTGGACCCTTTTTGGCCCCCAATTCCTAAACGTTTCAGCAATTACCCCCAAACTCAATTCCAGCTTTTCCTTTGTGATATGGAACCTTGTAGTACAATTTCAGAAAGATCCATACACTTACACACAAGTTATTGTCATGAAACTAGAAAAATGCTTGTTTTTTTGCCCCTTTTTTGGCCCCTAATTCCTAATATTTTGAGGCAATTACCCCCAAAATCAATCCCAGCATTCCTTTTGTGATATGGAACCTTGTGGTACAATGTCAGAGAGATCCATACACTAACACACAAGTTATGTCTGGAAGTTACAAAAATGCTTATTTTTGGCCCCTTTTTGGCCCCTAATTCCTTTACTGTTGGTACCATAACCCCCACAATCAATCCCAACCTTCCTTTTGTGGTATTGAACCTTGTGGTAAAATTTCATAGAGATCCATTCAGTTAAACTAAAGTTAGAGTGCGAAAACCAATGTGTCTTCGGACGACGACGACGACAACGTCACACCAATATACGACCACAAAAATTTTTTTGCGTTCGTATAAAAATAAATGATGTTTGAGACGCTATTTGGAAGGGAATAAGACGTTTTTATTGTAATACATGGATTACAAATTTACTTAAGGCATCTTTCATTACGTTCTAATAAATTAACAAACTTTAAATTTGCCAACAGTTGAAATGATTTGAAGTAAGCTCTCGAGGGATATACAATAATAATATGGCTTTGAAATGACGATACTGATAGTTAAAAAAGGTCAGCAAAGTTAATTTTTATTTTCTTTCAAATCGAAGGTCCGTCGGGCGTAGCTAAGTAACCAAAACGAAAGTCTGATTGCAATAGTTGAAGGTCACGGACCTCGGACCACCGCTAATTTGAACCCCTGCACCGATTGTGAGTCATCGTTCTTGTCGAATTGTTAATACTGACTGATGAAGGAGACGCTATGGTTTTTTTAAACTAATCCTAAAGTTAGAGGAAAATAATAATTTGGCTTCGATGGGTTTAAAAAATAAATAAATCGGATGCTTTTTTCCCCAACTACTCAATGTTAAATTATGAAATAGTTTGTCGTGCCGCATAGAAAAATTTTGCCTGAGAAAAAAAAACATATGGCGTTCCTACCAGTTACATTGTCAGTCCCTAAGTTCATTTCTCTCTGGATGCTTTACTCTATGTTTGGTGCTTTTGTTCTTAGACTTAGATCTACCCATCCTTATTCACTTAAAAATACTTTTTGAATTATAAATTACCTTAAACATGTTAAAGAAACTTGTAATTTGCAACATTTATATGTTAACTTTGAGACTGTCTCTCTCTCTCTCTGTTTTATTTATTTATTTTTTTTGGGGGGGGGGGGGGGGGTGAAAACGACGTGGATGCACGTGATGTCATTCCTCCGGGTAGCTACGCCCCAGGTAGTTCATTTATTCTGGGACTATTATACTAAATATTACTAGTATAATAGTCCCAGATTTATTGGATTAAAATTAAAAAAAAATTCCACATCAACAAATTCTTACCTCATTTTCAGGAATATTTTTTCTTTCTTGTCTTTCTCTTACTAGCCTCCTGGGTTGAGGTGGTCCTTCCCCAGAGTCCACGTAGAAATTTCCACATTTTGGACAGATTGTTCTTGGAGGAGAGTTTACTTGCTGCTTCGCTTTATGATCACATATTGGGCATTCTATTAATCTTATTTGTTCCCCATTATTTTGAGTAGTTGCCATCAAAACAAATTGTCATTTAAATCGCAATCTAAACCGTTCTTCATTATATTTTAAAGTTTAATGAAGAATACGTGCACCTGCTTCTCCATTTTGATTTACATTAACGACTGGCAATTATATTACGAATTATCTTTTACGAAACGAATCAAACAAAAACAAAAATGGCTGCGCCCATGAAGACAATCAGTTGTCATTTGAAACTTCGCAGAACGGCTTTAAACTTAATAACACGACATAGATATTTTAGTACAACAAATAGAAAGGTTTAGGAAATCATAAATAATATGTTCTTTGATGACAGTGGTGTAAATTGGGGAGGGGGTAGGGCGGATCCATTTAAAAAGGGGGGGGGGGGGTTCAACCCAGGATAAAGGGGGGGTCCAACCATTCAAAAGCATTCATGATCGTCAAAAAAAAGGGGGGTTCCAACCCTCGGAACCCCCTCCCCTTGGATCCCCCACAGGATTTGAAAGTGAGAAAGGTCATTAACCCCCTTTTTCTGTTCTTTGCTGACAAGACATGTAATTTAGGGTTTGGTTAGGGTTATTTTTTTTATAAATATTTTAAATATTATTTAATATATCACCTTATTTTCTCTTATACAGTTATATGGTCTTGTTTTTATTTGTACTATAAATCCCTTTAAAAAATTACTTCATAAAAAGGGTCACGGTGCCAGGTATATAGTTTCTGAGATTACTATAACACAGAGATTTATCTCTCACAATATTGTATAAAAACCATTACTTGTTGATGAATTAATATGCGTTAAAATAATGTTGTTTCATATTTGAATAGCTGAATTGGGTACTTCGTCTTTCCTTTCGTATTTATCTGTAGCAGACAATAAAATGATCATTGTTACTAAGGCTTTCAACTAATTAGTGCAGAGTATTATTACAAATTATCATAATAAAAGTTTAAAAAAAGATCATCTATTTTATTTATTGTATACAGAAAGCTAAATCAAGTACAATAAACATTTAAGGAACTGTAACTTTACTTGGATATATGATTACATACCACTTAAAAGAGAAAGATCCCTATTGATTTTGAAGTCACTTGGTCTAAACTTAAGGTTAACTCCAATTAGAATTAAAAATACAGCTTTTGAAAGACTATATCACTTTCTAAAATCATGTAACAGAAAAATGAATCATTGTGACCTTAAGGAAACAGAAAATAAATGGCATTTTGTCTTCATATATGCTTTTCCTTTTATAGGGTAGAGAGATATGTGACCTTGCTCACTGCATGTTTTTTTTTAATTTAAACAGAAACCACCAGAAACCTGTCATTAACACACAATTTTTCAAATAACAAAAACATTACATGCATGGTAGACTAGACAAAATGCCACAAGTTAAATCAAGCTTTTTATCTTTTTAAATTCATGTTAATTTCAGGAAAAAGGTCTTGTTTTGGGAGTCTATGAGGGAGATGATGAAATCTTGTTAACAAAAGCAACAGAAAAATTTGATAACAAAGTCAACAAAAAACTTACAAATGGCATACAACTGTAAGTATATGTACAAAAACAAGGAGATGTGATATGATTGCCAATGAGACAACTATTCATAGACAAAAAGACAAAGATGTGAACAATTGATATGAAATGTTGAAAAACTAATCTAAATAATCATCTTATATCAACATGATCAAAACCATAGACAAAAAGACAATAATTAATTGTTTACTTTTTACACATTGTGACTTGGATGAAGAGTTGTCTCACTGGCACTCATACCACATCTTCTTATTTCTAAATATGTAAACAATTGATGTGAAATGTTGAAAAACTAATCTAAATAATCATCTTATATCAACATGATCAAAACCATAGACAAAAAGACTAATAATTAATTGTTTACTTTTTACACATTGTGACTTGGATGGAGAGTTGTCTCACTGGCACTCATACCACATCTTCTTATTTCTAAATATGTGAACAATTGATGTGAAATGTTGAAAAAGTAATCTAAATGATCATCTTATATTAAAAGTTTGAAAGTTTAGTTTTTAATGATGCACATCAGTCCATTCTACTTTTGTATTTATTTATAACTGTAAGATTTGGGTTTTATTATGTCTAAAACACTTTTCAATTATTCATGTTAGATCATAAGTGCACAAGTTACTGGAACATTTTTTTGTTTTGTTGTTTTTAGTCGAGAAGAAAAAGTGTAGGGGGCAATCTAGCCAACAGCTTTGAAAATATATCTATTTAAACTCACAACATTATCAGTCAGGGGACTTACTTGAATGAGTGATTTTCTAAATCACTGATTCAAGTAACATTATGTCCACAAAGGTTGGAAGTAAGAGTTGTCTTTCTTTAATAATCACTTTTTTAAGTAGTAAAAATAATCACTAGACTAAGTGATTTAATTTTATTGTAGCATTGAATATACAATACTAATGATCCAGTGACTAATTATGTTGCTAAAATTATCAAAACCAACATCTGTGTTGATAGGATGACCGGTCATGTCGGGTGATGATCTTGAATTTTACAGGAAAAATACTCCCACTGCTGGGAAAAATCTGTTAAGAAAGTATCAGTTCATTATGTAAAACCTTTATTATAGCATAATTTCAACTAAAATAGAATTTACAGCTAAATGATTGCATCAAAGGCATAAACCTTGCTACTTAAAAGAAGCAAAAGGTTCATTTTTTCCAATTTTTCTAATGAAAAGGTATTATCTAAACCTATGTGTTTAAAATTTTGGTAAAACTACAAAATCATAATTTGTGAAAAAACTTCGAATTTGCTACCTAAATAAGTGATTTAAAAATCACTGATTTCAATAAGTCCCCTGACTGATTATAGGGATGATGAAATGCACAAAATAATTCAGACTAATTGAGATGTTATAATCCTAAAAAAGATGATTTTCAAACAACAAAAAATTATTCTGTGACCCAATTAATTTAGAATAAATGTGACATAAATGGGAAGATTTGGTGAGGCCATTCTCCACTTAACTATTGCAGTAGCTGTAACAATTACTTAATGTCACCCTTTACCTCCCTTGAATTAAAAAATGACAAGTCTGTCAATTAATTTCCTTGACCTTGAGTCAGTCAGATATTTATAAATCTGCTTTAGAGCTTCACAATCAAAGGGTTAAATGTACAAAAATAAGGCATTCCCATGGCAAGGGCTGTTCCTTTAAACATACATGGTACCAAGTAAAGGCACTTTCAAAAAGGAGTAACCAACTATAGAATTAAATTTATAATTTCACTTACATTTTCATTGTACTTGACACCCACCGATAGTTGAGATTTCAAAGTGCCTTTCCTTAGGGTCCCATATAAAAATAAGGAGATTTGGTATGATTGCCAATGAGACATGTACAGCTATCCACCAGAATTCAAATGAAAAAGATAAAAGCAATTATCATGATTATTATAGGCCACTGTACGGACTTAAACAATGAGAAAACTCATGTATGTTTTTATGGAACAGCCCTAAAATAAAATGCAACCCATGGCTAACATGAACTTTTTTGATTTGATATATATGGGAAAATATACCAAAAATTACATACCAGGATCAGATGACATTTTTTCCAAAAAATATGATGTTTTTATATGTGAAACACATTGAGAAGTCATCTATTGGTGATGGTTGTGGTATTTATATTGAGGATTTTACCATGATGATATTAAAACGACAGTTTAAGCACCCTGTATTAAAATTCTATTTTTAATGTAAATAGGAGTAAAATCTATACCAAAAGATCTCTTACTGCAAGATGTCTTATAGTAGATGTGAAACATTTGTCTTTTTGTCTGATATGTCAATTTTTAAATATCTGTGACTCCAAAGTAACATTACAAACATGACAAATGACCATAAGTTAATGGGCATAAGGATAATTCTGAAGATTTTTTCAACAAAATGAGCAACATTTGGAAAAGATTGAACAAATTTACTATTTTTGAAAATTTAGGCACAAAAATGGTAAATTTCATGATACATGTAAAGCTATTGACTCAAAGATTCCATATAAGGACTCATTAACAATTTTAGAATAGTACTTTTACAAATAACTATTATTGAATATGAAAATGTTATGTTTTATTTGTATATTCATTTACAAAATGAAGAGTCAAGAAAAAATTAAAGAAAGGTAAAAGTCGTACATTTTATGGATTGGATGCCGAATTTTCTACAGTTACAGCTGTATGTATAGGGAAAAAAGGAATTGGATACAATGAACTGGAAGGATTAGATGAAGGCAGAGATCAAATTAGAATTGCTGTTGCTAGTATGTATTCTCACATAATTATCTTATTGTGTATCGACCTGACTATACAAGAGATTTTTGCAACTGAATTAAGCAAAGAGTAATCAATAGATGACTGATATGCACTAAATTTGTTCCTCAAAATTATCATAAATTCACAATATTTTCATCTAAATTCTGAAAATTGGTACAAATAGTTCATTAACTGCAAATGTTGTTATTTTCATATAAATATTAATTTTGTAGAATCATTTATAAGCTCTAGAATGATGGATTTAAGGATTTGCTAAGAATGCACAAGTTGAATGCCATTAACAGGGCCCATTTAATTCAGGTTCATTGTCTTAATGAAGAGGAAGACTTATTCTTTTTGTGCATCACACTGTGTGTGACGTTGCAAATTGTTTATTGATGGTTATTTGTTGGTGTCTCTTGCCCCAGCAGCACAAAAGAAGATATGGAGGTGATAGAATGAATAACGAAAATTGATTAAAAAAGGAGTGGAAGGCAAACACCATGGTAAAGAAGGGCAAAATGTGAAATCCTTGTAACCAGGCGGTTTTAAAACATAAACAAAATTCATCTGCTAATTATAGTCTGAAAACCATTGTGGGCAACCCACTATCAGCGATCTTTGGATGTAATGGACTGCTCTATAGGTAGAAATAAAGGTTACTGAAAAAATTTTCCAAGTGTGCATATCAAGGTTTATGAATATTTGTTGATTTAGTTTATAGAGTTATTGCCTTTTGCAACTTAGAAAATATGTCTTAAAAAGAACAGCTCCTTACCAAGAGCAATTACATTTGTGTACATATATTTTGTTAATTGTTTTCATTAAAATTTTGTATGGCTTACATACAGGGAGAAAGGAGGAGACAAAAACCTTAATGTCCTTTCCCTCTTAAAATCAAAATATTTGATTTTTGTCTCGCCTGCGATGAAAGTGGCTGAAAGTAAGACATAGGGATTGCTTTTCCGGCAATGGCTGCGGCGACGGCATCAACAATTGTTAAGTTTTCTGCTTAAGTTAGTTTGATAGGAAATACTTGTGATAGACCATTGATATTTAATATAAAGCTGCATTACCATCAGTACATATCAGTTTGACGACTATTTTAAAGCCCTGCCCCTAGGACAAAGTCCAGTGACTTTGAATTAATTAGCAATTTTCAATGTCAAGTTTTCTGCTTAAGTTAGTTTGATAGGATCTACTTGTGATAGATCAATGATATTTTGTATGAAGTCACATTACAACCAGTACATATCAGTTTGAATATTATTTTTGAGGCCCTACCCCCTAGGACATGGTCCAGTGACTTGAATTAATAAGCAATTTTCAATGTTAAGTTTTTCTGCTTAAGTCTGTTTGATAAGAACTACTTGTGATAGATCAATGATATTTTGTATAAAGTTGCATTACTATCAGTACATATCAGTTTGACGGCTATTTTGAGGCCCTGCCCCCTAGAACATGGTCCAGTAACTTGAACTAATTAGCAATTTTCAATGTTAAGTTTTTCTGCTTAAGTTATATTGATAGGAACTACCTACAATAAACAATGATATTTTCTATAAAGTTACATTACTGTCTGTACATCTCATTTTTTCGACCATTGTCATGCCCTGCCCACTAGATCATGGTCCAGTGACTGAATTAATAAGCAATGTTTCTGTCTATCAGATTGTCTTCTTCTGAATTTTATGCCGATATACATCTAGGCGAGACATATCTCTGTGTCAACAGTTTATTCTGTTCCCTAATGACAAGCTGCTTGGTCTGTTTCTGTTTTCCCTACTGTTAATAAAACTTGTATACAAATAATAGGAGCAGTTAGACAGTTACAAGATATTGGAGAGACAGAAGTAGAGGTGGACCCTTGTGGAGATGCTGAAGGTAAGAAGTTACATACCAAGTACCATAACAAGTATGGAATTGTAAAATAAGAATAAATATAAAACAAAGAAGTTAAGTAGACTGATTTGGAAAAAGTTATTATCGCCCATGGAACTATTTAAATATTTTTGAAAAAAAAATGAGAAGTTTTTCTTTTTCTTTTTGCATTTAAAAACAAATTCAATGCTTGCACATATCCACATGAATACCCTATCTCTGAACAACAAAAATTGAAAAAATTTCTGATTCGTTGACGTGCAAATTTTAATTAATTGTCATTAGCTTTAAAAGTGATATGCAGGCCCATCACGAATGACAATTTATAACTGAAAATACAAATTTATAAATTTGTTGCATCCGAACCACATTTCTAGACTTATCTTCATCAGGAATGCTCAAACCCAAGGAACTATAAGTGCTTTAATACCTTAGGAGCCATTCTACAAAAAAGGAATTAAAACAAAGAACTAAATCCATCTAAGGTGACTCTATCTTTTTAAATATCTATTTAAAATATGAGAGCTGTTGTCAGTAAATTAGAAATGTTTATTTTTATTGACAGCTGCTGCAGAAGGCAGTGTTTTATCATTACATTCTTATGATGAACTGAAATCAGAGGACAAACAGAAGCCTCAGGTCAAGGTCATATGTTACACACAATTTTCTCAGGACAGGTTAGTAGAGGGTACAGACTAGAATAGTTGCCTTGGTGATAATATTTTAAAATTTGTTAGAAGGCAGTATCAATATTATCAAACTTTCTTCTGTTATATTGACCATATAAAAGTGAAATGCAAATTAATGCTCTCAGTATTATCAAAGATGCAACAAAAGTGAAAACATTTTATGGAATACTTGAACAGGAACACAGTTTTTATTGTTTTAAACATTTGCATTAACTTAAATCAAAGAGTGTTGTCCAACTATAGAACTTTATTGTAACTCACTTCCGAAAGCCTGAATCTGTGTTGAAGGCCATATGCATGATATGGTTTTCTCTGGATGTCTATTTTTTGTAAAATTGTGTTCTTTGGTGGCTTTCTGATTGAAAATTACCTCTAATTTCTATATATTCTTGTTTAATAAGTGTTTGGACTATACGGTAAATCAATACAAAGTCAAGTATGCCTATCAGATTTAAATAGCTCTTTTATATGTTTAATACGTTGTATATGATACAATTCTCTGCAAATACATAAATTATAAATCATAAATAAGAGTGAAACTAAATTCCGATAATCATAAAAATAATATACAATACATTAATTACTTCTCAGTCAATAATAAAAGACAAAGAAACATGTTTTCTAATAAAGTACAAAGTTTGCACAAAAGATTAAATCAATATTTTTCATTTACGGAACATTGTTACAATTCTTGTTAAAGAAATGAATGTTTAAGTCGGATCAAATATATGCTTACGGATTATGCTCTCTTATAAATCATCTTGTTTGTCCAAATACAAGCCAAATAATAAACTGCCGTAAACAAATTGAAATAACATTTTCATAAAAATTAACGTTATAAAGACGGGCGGCAAAGACAGCAAATATATTTAGCACAGTAAACGTCAATAATTGTATAGAAAAATGTAGCTTTTACAAAAAGCTTACCTATAAATTAAATAGTGGCAGCTAAGTGACAATGTATACACTATTAGTGTTTGAATAAATGTATCTTCTACCAAATATTCAAAAATAAAAATAAGAATAGATATGATTCTTACAATAAGTACAAATCAATTTGAAGATATGTGTATATTGAAACACTTATATTGATAGGGATAAGACCCGTGATCTGTGGACCAGAGGAGTATATTTGGCGGAGGGACAGATGTTCGCCAGTAAATTAATGGAGATGCCAGCAAATAAATTAACACCTACAATATTTTCACAGATTGTTAGTGAAAGGTTGTCAAACACAAATAAAGTATCTGTTACAGTGAGGTAAATAGTATTACAACATATTTTTATATTTGTATATAAAAAAAGTATGTGGGGATATCAAGATCTCTTTAGAAAAACAGTACACCACTATAACTCATGTTTCATTTTAAAATCATTTTTAACCAACTGACTAAAGCGTTGTTTAAAGGAACACATGTCTGAAAGAACTATTATAAATGATTAAAACATGTAATATTCATCAAAAAGAACATTTTTTCAAGATGATAAGACAGGTGAGGATCCAGAATATTGAAAAAAGGGGGAGGAGGGGTACTTCATCATATCTTGAATTTCTGACATTCCTGTGTAAAGTCTTTTTTTTATCTTTATATGATTGCAGAGACACTGAGTGGATAAAGTCACAGAAGATGGAATCTTTCCTGTCTGTAGCTAAAGGATCTGAGGAACCCCCTGTATTCTTAGAGATGGAATACAAGGGAACTAACTCTTCAAATAGTCCTGTAGCCTTGGTTGGAAAGGGAGTTACATTTGATAGGTATAGTAACACAGATCTAATATAAATAAAAGCTACAAAACTATATAGTTTATGTATATTTGGGTGTCTGTACTTTCCTGAGTTTGTTTAAAGTTATTACTTGTCCTCATGGACAATTCTGTTCTTCAAGATACTTAGATTTGTGTTATACAAAACACTTCAACTATAAAGTAAGTAATTTTTGTAAAGAATTTTTTCTTAGATTAATATTATATTTGGAAACTTAACATTTTAGAACTAATTGCTTTATTGAATAAAAAATGTATTTTATAAGACTTGACAGTAATTAAATTTACTGATGTTTTTATCCAGAGGTATTAACAAAAATATTATACTCCAAGGTAAATTCAAAAAGGGAAATATCCATAAAACATGACATAATCAAACTCTAGACTATATCAACCAACAAAACAAATGGAAAACAACTGTCACATTACTGACTTGGAACAGGCATTTTCCTAAAAATATGGTGAGTTAAACCTGGTTTAACAGCAACTAGCTAAACCTCCTACTTGTATGAAAGTTGTTTATAGTTCCTATATATTGACAAAATGGGGTGAGCAACCCAAACAGACATAATTAGTTAACATGAAAATGATTAGCATCACAGTTCTGGCGTTAATCAATTTTGAATATACCAACCAAGAGTATAAATTTAAGGGAATTGCATGAGTGTCAAAAGGTACAAGATCAAAGGTGCCCACAAGGTACATTATATTTGTTACCTGCTATGCATGATATCATATAGTATCAAAGAGTGAACCTCACAGTGGTGTTTTTCATTGCACAATTGTAGCGTAATTCACATCTATCAAATCAAAAATTGTGATCAAACAGATGCTAGAGGACATTTTGAATTTGCAATATAAGCACTGTTCCTTTGCTCTTTTTCCATGTACATGTAGTGATTTTGTGTAATAGATTGATAAACATTATCAAAAAACACAAAGAAAAGTTATTTGACAGTTGTTCTGTCATTTTAGTGGAGGAATATCAATCAAACCATCAGCTAACATGGATATGATGAGGGCTGATATGGGTGGTGCAGCATGTGTAGCAGGATCTCTACTGGCTGTAGCTAGACTTAATTTACCAATATATATCAAAGGTAGGTCTGTATAGTACTATATACTAAATAAACACTAGTGGATACATAGGTCATGGTTCATAAAAACATTCAAAAGGGATTTACATGTAAATAAGGGGCTTTAAAGTAGAAAAGAGCAGTGCTGTTATTGTGGTTTTCATCTTGATAGTTGCTAGAAGAACTTCGAGGATGAAATTTACCTATATATTTTTTTATGGTGTTGTTTGATTGATGTCAGATTGAAATGTACCCAACATCAACATGTATTTTTGTATAAAGAGAGTTTGTGTAAGATTATGGCCCCTGGCATGGACTAAAGAGGTTATCATTGATATTCATTGATAAACTGCTACAAATTCTTTATGAAAATAAGCTAGAGTAATCAGTTAAGTGCATTTAAAATCTTGTAAAGTCAATCTTCAAATACTATTATACACTACTTAACAAAGAACTTAATGTTTTAGCAACTACACAATCACAGGGCATTATCGATAGTTTTTTAATGAAACTTGATTAAGAAAACTAATGTCAAAATGGACACATCCAATGGTTGGGCTGTGACCATATCTATACCTTAAAAGGGGTATAATGAAGTGGTTTGAACATGAGAAATGATCTCTGTAACACTTTTTACATTCATGTATGTTGGATAATAGTAAGGAGCATACAACATAAACATTTCAGATATACATATTTTCTATTTTCTAGCTGAAGTGCTCAATTTTATTTTTTTTCATTTTGTTTTATTTTAGCATTTATTCCATTATGTGAAAACATGCCAAGTGGTAAGGCAACAAAACCAGGCGATGTTGTTACGGCTAGGAATGGTAAAACTATACAGGTAAAAAACATGTAGTAATTAGGCAACAAAACCCAACAATGCGGTTACCGTTAGGAATGGTAAAACTATACAGGTAAAAAAAATGTAGTAGATAGGCAACAAAACCAGTCGATGTTGTTACTGCTAGGAATGGTAAAACGATCCAGGAAAAAAACACGTAGTAATTAAGCAACAAAGTAAGATAATAAATTGCTTCGCCGAGCACAGCTGGATACGACCACAGAGGTCCAACCCTGAACAGTTGGGGCAAAAATGGACACAATATTCGCGCTTGATACAGATCTGAATTTGGATTGTAATTAAATATTTGACACATAATAGGTTTCTGACACAGAATAAATGTAGTCAAAGAACTTAGAATTGGTTATATGATTTGATTTGAATTTATATTCAATTTTTTGCTTTTGTGCAATACACTATGCCGTTGCGAATTGACCCCCTCCCCCCCCCCCCCCTTTTTTTTGCAAAAAAAAAATATTTGAAGAAATTTTCTTTTTAATATCTGAAATGAGAAAAAAAATTGTCCCCCCCCCCCTCAATTTTTTTTTCACCTCCCCCTGGGGGGCCCCTTTTTCCAAAAAAAAAAATTCTTGCTCTCAAGATACGGTCATAATCTCAATTAAAATTTCCAATGGAGTTTTGGGGCCTCGGTGGCCTAGTGGTCTAGGTTTTTACTACTGTAATCACTAGCCAGTCAACACAGGTTGTGAGTTTGAACCCCGCTCGTGCAGGTGCACTCGACTCCAATCTTAATTGACTAGGATTGTCAGTTTTCCTATCGAAGGTTGGTGGTTTTCTCCAGGCACTCAGGCTTCCTCCACCAATAAAAACTGGCCGCCATGATATAGCCCAAAAGCGGTCTTAAAAGTGGCGTTAAAACACAAAAAATCAAAATCAAACCAATGGAGTTTGCAACCATAATTACCCATTTAAAAACATCATAAATATCTTAAAATAGAAAATGACATACATAATCATGGCTAAAATTAATATATTCCTTAATCAGCATTTAAATAATAGTAACTTCTAAAAATAAATTGACAGCTAATCACCTCAAGACAATACAACATTTCTTTATACATAATTTAAAAGCAGTGTAAGGGAGGTAATCCAAACATAATATTGTACTTTTTTTAATTGTCCATTAACCAGGACACCCTTGTTTTCCCCCTTTTTTTGCCCCTAATTCCTAAACGGTTTGAGCCATAACCCCCCAAAGCCAATCCTAACCATCCCTTTGTGGTATGGAAACTTGTGGTATAATTTCAGATTTCCATAAACCGTTCCACAAGTTCTTGTCTGGAAACTAGAAAAATGCTTATTTGGGCCCCTTTTTGGCCCCTAATTCCTAAACTGATAGGACCATAACCCCCAAAATCAATCCCAACCTTCCTTTTGTGGTTATAAACCTTGTGTTTAAATTTCATAGATTTCTATTTACATTTACTAAAGTTGGGCTTTTATACTAAATTTCAAGAAATATTCAATATGATATAATAATAATCTTAAAGTTTTCAGGACAAAGAAATTTGTTTCTCATTAACTACTTTTCTTGAAGACAAAATTCTGATCTTGTCTGAAGCATTCAATGTCAAATTTCACTAACATTTATAGGTTTCATAACGAGTGAGAATTGGATATCACTTGATATCAACTCGAGTTATTTAATTTCAATATTTTATATATAATAAACGAGCCTGTGGCAAGTTTATTATTACTATCTAAATTAAATAACGAGAGTTGATATCAAGCGATATCCAATTCTCACCAGTTGTTATACCTTTTTCATTTATGGTCAACACTCTCATTGTGTTAAATTAAAAATTTGTGAACCGTTGATCTAGTCTTTTGTGCATACCAGCTGTATGACGTCATGTGGCTTGTTCTGGCGTCAAACTTTAATATCAGACATTTTAAAAACTTTTTGTACGATTCATAATGGAATAAAATTTGGCAAAAAGAAGATTTTTAGGTGAAAAGTGTGAGTGTTTTGTATATTATTGAACAAATCACATATGTCCGTTGCCATGGACCAAATGTTCATCGTCTTATCCTTTGAAAGTCATCAATAACCTAACAAATAGCAAATGGAAATGTCATAATATTGTCTCATGAGGCTGGATAAGCCAATCAAATTAACACAGTTTTTGTATCACATTCCATGCAGTGTGATATGAGAAATATCTCTTCATGCAAGAAATAGATAACAAGCCACAACCATAATAGAACACTATTTATTCTTAGTATAAACAAGATATACCCATTCACCAACAGGTAGATAACACAGATGCAGAGGGCAGATTGATTTTAGCAGATGCTTTATGTTATGCTGATACATTTAATCCCACTGCTGTATTAGATATGGCTACACTTACAGGTAAGTAGGTTTTATTATCATGTAATCCCACTGCTGTATTAGATATGGCTACACTTACAGGTAAGTAGGTTTTATTAGCATGTAATCCCACTGCTATATTAGATATGGCTACACTTACAGGTAAGTAGGTTTTATTAACATTTAATCCCACTGCTGTATTAGATATGGCTACACTTACAGGTAAGTAGGATTTATTAACATTTAATCCCACTGCTGTATTAGATATGGCTACACTTATGGGTAAGTAGGTTTTATTAGCATGTAATCCCACTGCTGTATTAGATATTGCTACACTTACAGGTAAGTAGGTTTTATTAACATATAATCCCACTGCTATATTAGATATGGCTACACTTACAGGTAAGTAGGTTTTATTAGCATTTAATCCCACTGCTGTATTAGATATGGCTACACTTACAGGTAAGTAGGTTTTATAAGCATTTAATCCCACTGCTGTATTAGATATGGCTACACTTACAGGTAAATAGGTTTTATTAGCATGTAATCCCACTGCTGTATTAGATATGGCTACACTTACAGGTAAGTAGGTTTTATTAGCATGTAATCCCACTGCTGTATAAGTTATAGTTACACTTGCAGGTAAGTAGGTTTTATTAGCATGTAATCCCACTGCTGTATTAGATATGGCTACACTTACAGTTCAGTAGGTTTTATTAACATTTAATCCCACTGCTGTATTAGATATGGCTACACTTACAGGTAAGTAGGTTTTATTAGCATTTAATCCCACTGCTGTATTAGATATGGCTACACTTACAGGTAAGAATGTTTTATTAGCATTTAATCCCACTGCTGTATTAGATATGGCTACACTTACAGGTAAGTAGGTTTTATTAGCATTGAATCCCACTGCTGTATTAGATATGGCTACACTTACAGGTAAGAATGTTTTATTAGCATTGAATCCCACTGCTGTATTAGATATGGCTACACTTACAGGTTAGTTGGTTTGATAAGAATTTAATCCCACTGCTGTATTAGATATGGCTACACTTACAGGTAAGTAGGTTTGATTAGCATGTAATCCCACTGCTGTATTAGATATGGCTACACTTACAGGTAAGAAGGTTTTATTAACATTTAATCCCACTGCTGTATTAGATATGGCTACACTTACAGGTAAGTAGGTTTTATTAGCATTTAATCCCACTGCTGTATTAGATATGGCTACACTTACAGGTAAGAATGTTTTATTAGCATTTAATCCCACTGCTGTATTAGATATGGCTACACTTACAGGTAAGTAGGTTTTATTAGCATTGAATCCCACTGCTGTATTAGATATGGCTACACTTACAGGTAAGAATGTTTTATTAGCATTTAATCCCACTGCTGTATTAGATATGGCTACACTTACAAGTAAGTAGGTTTTATTAGCATTGAATCCCACTGCTGTATTAGATATGGCTACACTTACAGGTAAGAATGTTTTATTAGCATTGAATCCCACTGCTGTATTAGATATGGCTACACTTACAGGTTAGTTGGTTTGATTAGCATTGAATCCCACTGCTGTATTAGATATGGCTACACTTACAGGTAAGTAGGTTTGATTAGCATTTAATCCCACTGCTGTATTAGATATGGCTACACTTACAGGTAAGTAGGTTTGATTAGCATTTAATCCTACTGCTGTATTAGATATGGCTACACTTACAGGTAAGTAGGTTTTATTAGCATTTAATCCCACTGCTGTATTAGATATGGCTACACTTACAGGTAAGAATGTTTTATTAGCATTTAATCCCACTGCTGTATTAGATATGGCTACACTTGCAGGTAAGTAGGTTTTATTAGCATGTAATCCCACTGCTGTATTAGATATGGCTACACTTACAGGTAAGTAGGTTTTATTAACATTTAATCCCACTGCTGTATTAGATATGGCTACACTTACAGGTAAGTAGGTTTTATTAGCATTTAATCCCACTGCTGTATTAGATATGGCTACACTTACAGGTAAGTAGGTTTGATTAGCATTGAATCCCACTGCTGTATTAGATATGGCTACACTTACAGGTAAGTAGGTTTGATTAGCATTTAATCCCACTGCTGTATTAGATATGGCTACACTTACAGGTAAGTAGGTTTGATTAGCATTTAATCCCACTGCTGTATTAGATATGGCTACACTTACAGGTAAGAATGTTTTATTAGCATTTAATCCCACTGCTGTATTAGATATGGCTACACTTACAGGTAAGTAGGTTTTATTAGTTTAATCCCACTGCTGTATTAGATATGGCTACACTTACAGGTAAGTAGGTTTTATTAGTTTAATCCCACTGCTGTATTAGATATGGCTACACTTACAGGTAAGTAGGTTTGATTAGCATTGAATCCCACTGCTGTATTAGATATGGCTACACTTACAGGTAAGTAGGTTTGATTAGCATTTAATCCCACTGCTGTATTAGATATGGCTACACTTACAGGTAAGTAGGTTTGATTAGCATTTAATCCCACTGCTGTATTAGATATGGCTACACTTACAGGTAAGAATGTTTTATTAGCATTTAATCCCACTGCTGTATTAGATATGGCTACACTTACAGGTAAGTAGGTTTTATTAGTTTAATCCCACTGCTGTATTAGATATGGCTACACTTACAGGTAAGTAGGTTTTATTAGTTTAATCCCACTGCTGTATTAGATATGGCTACACTTACAGGTAAGAATGTTTTATTAGCATGTAATCCCGCTGCTGTATTAGATATGGCTACACTTACAGGTAAGTAGGTTTGATTAGCATTGAATCCCACTGCTGTATTAGATATGGCTACACTTACAGGTAAGAATGTTTTATTAGCATTGAATCCCACTGCTGTATTAGATATGGCTACACTTACAGGTTAGTTGGTTTGATAAGAATTTAATCCCACTGCTGTATTAGATATGGCTACACTTACAGGTAAGTAGGTTTGATTAGCATTTAATCCCACTGCTGTATTAGATATGGCTACACTTACAGGTAAGTTGGTTTTATTAGCATTTAATCCCACTGCTGTATTAGATATGGCTACACTTACAGGTAAGAATGTTTTATTAGCATTTAATCCCACTGCTGTATTAGATATGGCTACACTTACAGGTAAGTAGAATTTATAAGCATGTAATCCCGCTGCTGTATTAGATATGGCTACACTTACAGGTAAGAATGTTTTATTAGCATTTAATCCCACTGCTGTATTAGATATGGCTACACTTACAGGTAAGTAGGTTTTATTAGCATTTAATCCCACTGCCAGCGTAGGACACAGCCAGTCGCCTGGTCGGCAAATGCGACCATTACTTTGATTGGGCGATTAGAAATGTCAAAAGATGGATAGTTACTGGCCCAAAAATAAATCATTGGGCGAGTGCATTATCATTCTCAAAATCGTAGTTACTCCTATAAAAACCCACCCCAACTTCGGAACACCCATTGTCGGAAATCCTCTGGTCACACCGTTAAAACGTGCTAGTGCATTAGAATATTAACATGGCGGATACAAACAACATCGTGACATGTGCTTGTTTAATGGGTCAAACAAGGTTTTCCAGTCAATGGTGGCCGCTAAACTATTGGTGTTTTATATAGGATAGCGACAGTCATTGACAGTAAAACCTCGTCTGACCCACTGAAATAAACAAGGGCAAGGGAATTCTGAAAAGAACTCCATACACGGATACAACTGAGAAGCCGTCAAAATAATTTTCAAATGAGTGTAGATAGTAAACCCCCAAGGACAGAAACAAGTGCCTGTGGCAGTGACATAAGAAAATATTACGTTTATAAAATGTCTTTTGATTTTGTTTTGCATTGACACTTTGGACATACAACCTGCTGAAATGACTGACCGAATAGAATATAGCGGAAATTCCCCGTGCTATTTTTAGATCAATTCGCAGAAACTTGTTTAATTTTAAACGCAACAGCAAAATTTCATCAGTGAAAGACACGAAATCACTATGCAACCGAAACGGTAATGGAACTTCACTTCTAGCTACTCTCTCATGGAATGAGAAGTCAATTTTCCAATTCAAAATCCTAGATTAGGCACTGGACAGTGATGATGAATTCAGTGACAATGAAGACTATATATGGGAATGAGGTTTTTTTTTTAGGTTTATGTGTCGGGTAGGTTGAAGAATTAAGAACATCTATTTATGTTGCTTTATTGTCATGTTTATGGCTCAACACCGAAAAAAATTTGAGTAAAGTAATCGGGCTATCAATATGCATTTTGGGCCTGTGAAGTAATTTTTGCACTCGCCCAAAAAAAAATTTTCGGCAAGCCTTCGGCTGCCCCGACTGTCCTACACTGCACTGCTGTATTAGATATGGCTACACTTACAGGTTAGTTGGTTTGATTAGCAATTAATCCCACTGCTGTATTAGATATGACTACACTTACAGGTTAGTTGGTTTTATTAGCAATTAATCCCACTGCTGTATTAGATATGGCTACACTTACAGGTTAGTTGGTTTTATTAGCAATTAATCCCACTGCTGTATTAGATATGACTACACTTACAGGTTAGTTGGTTTTATTAGCAATTAATCCAACTGCTGTATTAGATATGGCTACACTTACAGGTAAGTTGGTTTTATTAGTATGTAATCCCACTGCTGTATTAGATATGGCTACACTTACAGGTTAGTTGGTTTGATTAGCAATCAATCCCACTGCTGTATTAGATATGACTACACTTACAGGTTAGTTGGTTTTATTAGCAATTAATCCCACTGCTGTATTAGATATGACTACACTTACAGGTTAGTCGGTTTTATTAGCAATTAATCCCACTGCTGTATTAGATATGGCTACACTTACAGGTAAGTTGGTTTTATTAGTATGTAATCCCACTGCTGTATTAGATATGGCTACACTTACAGGTAAGTTTTGAATCCATTAAAACTCTGAAATATCTCTGAGAAAGAACAGAGAGTAATAAGGAAATTATTTGGCTTAGTTTTTCCCTGGAATTTGTATTTTTAATTCATATTTTCCATTATTACATATTTATGAATAGGAGATATATGCCACAGAAAGTGCAACAAAACCACACAATAAAAAAAAAACATTAGGTCATCAAATGGCCAACCATAAAAAAGTGTCTATCCTGTGTGTAAAGCTTTATATCATCCCATGTCTAAATAAATTTTAAATAAATATAAAAAAAGCTAACAGATATCTGCAGTCAATAAAAAAAATCATTAAAGAAAAGAAAAAAAACCACCAAGATATTACTTAAGACCACTACTATCTGTGTTCCTGATATTGGACAAGTACAAGTATATCACTATATAGCTTGATTCATATTTTTGAATAATCAATCCTGCAATAAGTTAGATCAGGGAAATAGAAAAAGAGGCAAATACAATAAAATACATTCAAAATACTTTCAAAAAATTTCAAACGATATCAGATTAAAAATAATTATTTATACAGAGCTTGCACAAAACCAAATAACTTAATTTACACTATGAACAACGTTTTCTTTACAAAGAAATAGATGGTTCTATTAGGTGCTTATTATTTTCAACTCCCAACTTGAAAAAAAAAGCATTTTTTGTCTTTTTTTAAAAGGATGTCTAGACAATGCTCTTTATGTATTTGGTACCCATTTGTGTGTGTTCTAATATAAACTAAAAACTTTATTTTACAGGTGCAATTGATGTAGCTCTAGGATCAGCAGTTACAGGTGTATTTTCTAATTCTAACACTATGTGGGAACTTCTTCAGAAGGTTTGACTTTGTTATATATTATTTTTTTGGAAAGATTCCAATTCTTTAATAAGGCATGCACCTCCCAAACAAGAAGTAGCCAGATTAGCTACTACATCTATAGACACTGAAATATAGTTCCCAATAATTCTCATGTCTGTGCACACAGAGCCTTAATTGGAATATACCACCCTCTTTGAAACGCCAATCATGTTGACCAAATTACTTATAAAATTCAGTCTTGCATTTGTTTGCACCTGTCCTAAGTCAGGAACCTGATGTTCAGTGGTTGTCGTTTGTTGATGTGGTTCATAAGTGTTTCTCGTTTCTCGTTTTTTATATAGATTAGACCGTTGGTTTTCCTGTTTGAATGGTTTTACACTAGTCATTTTTGGGGCCCTTTATAGCTTGCTGTTCGGTGTGAGCCAAGGCTCCGTGTTGAAGGCCGTACTTTGACCTATAATGGTTTACTTTTACAAATTGTGACTTGGATGGAGAGTTGTCTCATTGGCACTCATACCACATCTTCTTATATCTATTTACATAATAAGCAGACACTTTCTTACACAACTCAATATACAGTTCTTTACCTTATTAATGAATACTCAAATGTATAATATCAGATGTTTAATATATATGTAACTGTACACATTGCAATTCAGTAGGATCCAGAATCCTCATAGTACAAATTGGAACTTGTAATAATTTTCTAGTAGGATTGAGGGTGTTATAAAATAATTTATTATTTCAAGGTGATAATGAATTTATGTCACTTTATCCTTTTAGATTTTAACACAATGTTATGAAACTTTAAATTCAGGCTACATTCAATTTGAATTTTGGTTTTGCATTTACCAATAAAAATAAAAATGATGATGAGGTATGATTGCCAATGAGACAACTATACACCAAAGTTCAAATGAAATGGATGTAAGCAATTATAGGCATTTGTACAGCCTGCTACAATGAGAAAACCCATACTGTATAGTCAGCTATAAAAGGCCCTGACATGAAAAATATAAAATAATTCAACTGAGAAAACTTACGGCCTAACTTCTAACAAAACAATTTACAAAAAAAAAACAGTTATGTCAGACATAAACCAATGACAACCACTGAACTACAGGCTCCTGACTTGGGACAGGCACATAAAGAATGTGGCGGGGTTAAACATGTTTGTGAGCGCTCAACCCTCCCCTAACCTGGGACAGTAGTGTTTTAGCACAACATAAGAACAAACTATAAAAATCAGTTGAAAATGGCTTTAATAACTCATCAGATCAATACAAAGCAGATAAAATGCTCCGCAGGGCGCAGCTTGATACGACCGCAGAGGTCGAACCCTGAACAGTTGGGGCAAGTATGGACACAACATTCAAGCTTGATACAGCTCTGAATTTGGATTGTGATTAAATATTTGACACAGCATAGGTTTCTGACACAGAATGAATGTGGTCTAAGAACTTAAAAATTTTAAATTGGACATTCACCTATTATGGTCCAATATCCAAAATCTAAATACATGGTTAGATTCAGCATATCAAAGAACCCCAAGAATTCAATTTTTGATGAAATCAAACAAAGTTTAATTTTGGACCCTTTGATCTCAATGTGGACAAAAATGATAACAGGGCCCAAAAATCAAAAATCTAAATACATGGTTAGATTCAGCATATCAAAGAACCCCATATATTCAATTTTTGTTGAAATCAAACAAAGTTTAATTTTGGACCCCGATTTGGACCAACTTGAAAACTGGGCCCATAATCAAAAATCTAAATACATGTTTAGATTCAGCATATCAAAGAACCCTAAAAATTCAATTTTTGTTAAAATCAAACTAAGTTTAATTTTGGACCCTTTGGACCTTTATGTAGACCAATTTGAAAACGGAACCAAAAATTAAGAATCTAAATACACGGTTAGATTCGGCATATCAAAGAACCCCAATAATTCAATTTTTGATGAAATCAAACAAAGTTAAATTTTGGACCCTTTTGACTTCAATGTGGACCAATTTAAAAACGGGGCCCAAAATCCAAAAACTTAATACACGGTTAGATTCAGCATATTACAGAACCCCATATATTCAATTTTTGTTGAAATCAAACAAAGTTTAATTTTGGACCCCGATTTGGACCAACTTGAAAACTGGGCCCATAATCAAAAATCTAAATACATGGTTAGATTCAGCATATCAAAGAACCCCATATATTCAATTTTTGTTGAAATCAAACAAAGTTTAATTTTGGACCCCGATTTGGACCAACTTGAAAACTGGGCCCATCATCAAAAATCTAAATACATGGTTAGATTCAGCATATCAAAGAACCCCATATATTCAATTTTTAATGATATCAAACAAAGTTTAATTTTGGACCCTTTTGATCTCAATGTGGACAAAGTTGATAACGGGGCCCAACAATCAAAAATCTAAATACATGGTTAGATTCAGCATATCAAAGAACCCCATATATTCAATTTTTGTTGAAATCAAACAAAGTTTAATTTTGGACCCCGATTTGGACCAACTTGAAAACTGGGCCCATAATCAAAAATCTAAATACATGGTTAGATTCAGCATATCAAAGAACCCAATATATTCAATTTTTGTTGAAATCAAACAAAGTTTAATTTTGGACCCTGATTTGGACCAACTTGAAAACTGGGCCCATAATCAAAAATCTAAATACATGGTTAGATTCAGCATATCAAAGAATCCCATATATTCAATTTTTGTTGAAATCAAACTAAGTTTAATTTTGGACCCTTTGGACCTTTATGTAGACCAATTTGAAAACAGAACCAAAAATTAAGAATCTAAATACATGGTTAGATTCAGCATATCAAAGAACCCAATATATTCAATTTTTGTTGAAATCAAACAAAGTTTAATTTTGGACCCCGATTTGGACCAACTTGAAAACTGGGCCCATAATCAAAAATCTAAATACACGGTTAGATTCGGCATATCAAAGAACCCCAATAATTCAATTTTTGATGAAATCAAACAAAGTTAAATTTTGGACCCTTTGGACCTCAATGTGGACCAATTTAAAAACGGGGCCCAAAATCCAAAAACTTAATACACGGTTAGATTCAGCATATTAAAGAACCCCAAGAATTCAAGAATAAAACCCCATTGAAATTGATCAAGAAATAAGCAATTTATACGAAGTATCTTCTTTTGCGCAATATTGTGCTATTGGATATTTCTTGCTATTGCGCAATACTGTGCAATTGAAGATTTCTTGCTATTGTGCAATACTGTGCAATTGAAGATTTCTTGCTATTGTGCAATACTGTGCAATTGAAAATTTCTTGCTATTGCACAATACTTATTATATAATAATTTACACATCCTGTTTGGTGTGTATCTCCTACCATATCATTATTATTTGCTTTTAAATATAAATCAGAAATAACCAACTTAAAATGGAAAATTTTAAAAGAAAAAAAAAAGGAAAAAAAGGAAAAAAAAAAAGAAAAAAAAAAATCCCCCCCCAAAATTTTTTGAACCCCCTTATGATTCATCACCCCCAAACTCAATCTCAGCCTTCCCTTTGTGGTATGGTACCTTGCAGTACAATTTCAGAGAGATCCATACACTTGAACACAAGTTATTGTCTGGAAACTAGAAAAATGCTTATTTTTGGCCCCTTTTTGGCCCCCAATTCCTTAACGTTTCGGGCAATTACCCCCAAACTCAATTCCAGCTTTCCCTTTGTGATATGGAACCTTGTAGTACAATTTCAGAAATATCCAAACACTTACACACAAGTTATTGTCATGAAACTAGAAAAATGCTTGTTTTTTGCCCCTTTTTTGGCCCCTAATTCCTAACATTTTGAGGCAATTACCCCCAAAATCAATCCCAGCATTCCCTTTGTGATATGGAACCTTGTGGTACAATGTCAGAGAGATCCATACACTTACACACAAGTTATTGTCTGGAAGTTACAAAAATGCTTATTGTTGGCCCCTTTTTGGCCCCTAATTCCTTAACTGTTGGTACCATAACCCCCAAAATCAATCCCAACCTTCCTTTCATGGTATTGAACCTTATGGTAAAATTTCATGGAGATCCATTCACTTAAACTAAAGTTAGAGTGCGAAAACCAATGTGTCTTCGGACGACGCCGGACGACGACGACGACGACGACGACGACGACGACGACGACGACGCCAACGTCATACCAATATACGACCAAAAAATTTTCAATTTTTGCGGTCGTATAAAAAACATCTAACAAAAACACAGACCGGACATGGCAGGGTATTTATACATCCCTAACAACAACAAAGACACAAAAGTACAGACCTGAGAGTACTTGCAGTTACTAACAGCTAGTTCAAAGCCAATAACAGCTTATTAAAATATCATGTATCTAAGACTAAGATTATAAAAGAACAGAGTTCCAATGTCCCCCTCGTTGCACATATTTTATCTATCCAAGGTACAAGGGCAATAACTAAAAAAGCACTTTTTTTTCCTTTAAAACTTTTTATTTATATCTTACGAGAAATGAAGGCTTCAGAGCAAATGCAATGTGATTTCCATTATAATTTATATTTCCAAGGGGCATAACTTATTAAAAATATTTGATCAGAACTTATTTTCAAAAGTGTCAAAGACATTGCTGATATAAACCTATGATATAAGTTTCATAAAATTCTGGCAAGAATTGAACACATGAGAGCAATAACATTGCAATTTTCCATATAATTAATATTTTCAAGGGACATAACTCTTTTAAAAACAATTGATTGGCACTGATTTTTGAACTCTTCAAGTAAATTTCATAAAAATCTGGCAAGAATGTACACATAAGAGCGCTCATAAGGCAATTTTCCATATAATTTACATTTCCAAGGGGCATAACTCTTTTAAAAATTATTGATCGGCACTGATTTTCTAATTCGTCCAAGACATTGCTGATATAAACCTATGATTTAAGTTTCATAAAATTCTGGCAAGAATTGTACATATGAGAGCGATAACAATGCAATTCTCCATATAATTTATTTTTCTAAGGCATAACTCTTTTAAAAATATTGATCGTCACTGATTTTCGAACTCCTCCTAGGCATTGCTGATATAAACCTATGATATAAGTTTCATAAAAAAATCTGGCAAGAATTGATCACATGAGAGCGCTAACGATGCAATTTTCCATAAAATTAATGTTTCCAAGGGGCATAACTCTTTTAAAAATAATAATTGATCAGCACTGATTTTCGAACTCGTCCAAGACATTGCTAATATAAACCTATGATATAAGTTTCATAAAAATCTGGCAAGAATTGTACAAATGAGAGTGCTAACGATGCAATTTTCAATATAATTAATGTTTCCAAGGGGCATAACTCTTTTAAAAATAATTGATCGGCACTGATTTTTATCAAATGCGTTATGCGGTGGACAAAAATATCAATCAGTACAAATCCAATATCCAATGGATTTAGTGTAAAGACCTCATTAAAAGACTTTTTCTGCATGCTGGCACTAGATTTACTTAAAATAAAGTGTAGGAATGAGTATTGTGAATGTGAGAACAAGCTTGAACAAAATTCAAACCAACGAAAACTGGCATTTGGCATCAGTTTATATTTATACAAAAATAAGGGCAAATTTGAACAAGTAATCCAATTTTCTATGACTTTTTAAAAATAATGTTTATTCATATATATCTATCGATCTATCTAAAACGACATCACATAAATATGATAAAATTGAAAATTTGAGGCCAAAATGAGGCTTTATAGTTCCTAGTCCTCTAGTTTTCATAACAATTAAACTATAAAGTACCAAACATTTATAATGAGCATAATAAGGATAGACAGCTGGGATATAGAAGCCCACAGTCTTGTTTGTTTATGCCTATAAGGTTTTGTCCTTGAGTGTAAGTGTTCATTACAGTGTATCAGATCTGTTTATTAAAACTTTTTTTATTTCATCAGGCTGGTAGTAGAACTGGTGACCGTGTATGGAGAATGCCTTTATTACAGCATTATAGTAAACAAGTAACAGAATCACAACTAGCAGACGTCAATAATATTGGTAAATATGCACGGTCTGGTGGAGCTTGTACTGCTGCAGCATTTCTTAAGGTTGGTTATCTATCATGATGGATTTGATAATACAATAGAAATCTTTAATGAATCAGGAACAGGAAATCATCAGTATAAATATATTAAAAACAGGTGTGGGAAATGGTGAAATTTTCAATGGAATATGTATACATCCAGATAATTTTATACCTCCTGCTTTTTGAAGTGTTTGTCCAGCCATCTGTTCATTCTTTTATTCCACTTTACAAAATCTTATGAAACTTTTACAGAATTTTACTAACATGATTTACTTTTGAGCTCAATCAGTAATAAAACAGACTTTAACACATTATTAGGAATTAGCTGTCTAAGGATCAGTATAATATTCACATTCATCCTTCCTGATTAATGAAACCATAAAAAAAAAGGTTATATATACATGTATTAGTATGGCTCAAAAAATACATAAGAAAGTATATACTGTTCGGTGTGAGCCAAGGCTCCGTGTTGAAGACCGTACTTTGACCTATAATGGTTTACTTTTATAAATTTTGACTTGGATGGAGAGTTGTCTCATTGGCACTCATACCACATCTTCTTATATCTATATAGGTTGCACATTTACTAGTCAAATCATTTTAATTATTTCATTTCTTTTTAAAGGAATTTGTAACTGCAAAGCAGTGGATGCATTTAGATATAGCAGGTGTTATGATGAACCAAGATGAAGTTCCATACTTATCCAAGGGAATGTCAGGTCGCCCAACAAGAACAGTAGTTGAATTTTTAAAGTTACTTAGTGAACAGTCTTGATGATATTAGTACTTTAGACATTAAAGTGTGTAAATGTGATAAATGTGATGGTAGAATTGATAATACAATTTTGAGATAGAATAGTTGTTTTATTTAAAGTTAAAGTAATCAATTGACATCTGTGATTATTTGAACATTTTTCTCCTGTTTTGATTGGATAGAAACTTTATGGTACCCACACAACAGTAGGTTTATTCCAAGACAGTCGTTATCTTGAAAACAATGTGACAAAAAAACTTATTCCTTTGGGATGTAAGCTAATCAAATGCATTTATATTTACATACCAAAACTGTGTAGAAAATGAACAATTTCCAATTCCAAAACTTTACTGTGGCTGACTTTAGTATTAGTATTACGTCTGTTGACCCAATAACTTTTGCAAAACAATTACTTTTGATCTGTGATATTAAATTTTTTCTGTTTTACGGTATGACCCTATGGTGACCTATTCTTGGTAACATCTATGTCTTTGGTCTCCAGTGGATAGTTGTCTCAATGGCAATCATACCACATCTTCTTATTTTTTATTCAGCCATGCTGGATCTATGTGATCATTCCATATTTTGAGACTATGCAGAATTTTATGTTGAAGACATATCATGAAAATAATTATGTGTTTTTATGACTTGCAGAAACTTTATACAACATTTTAATCATCATCTGCCAACTTTTGACATGTTATTTGCCCTTATATTAAGAAAATATTAGTGGAACAGCTACTTTATTTTAGATATACACTTGCATATAGTTCCTTTGTAAATCAAAGTTTATGATAAATTACTATTTATGAATTAATGTGAAAAAGTGATATATCAAATTTAATCAGTTGATAAGAATTATGAAAGTATTTTATCAGTATCTTATGCTTGTGTAAGTTATTATAAATTTGGTGCAAGATGTGTGTTGATAGCAAAGATGATTCCCACACTTTTTAGGAATACCGGTACTATTCTTCTAATTATTTCCTTAGGAAAGTAAGAGTACTGATACAATACAGTATGATAGACAACTGTCATTATTTACAAACAATTTCACTCGAAGATGGGAGTATTAATTGGAATAACCTCCACTGTAATACCAATCATAATTGACCACAGTTACAGTATAGAACCACTAATTCGGACCCGGTTAGAAAGAATATATCAGTCAATATGTGTTCTAGATCACCAGTCCTTCACCTTTCATCTGATACCTTAATAACTAAAATATATCCTACATAGTTTTATATTTACACCTATATATAGGAATTATTTTTTTTTTAAATCTGTACTACTGGTACTTTCTAGTATGTTCTTTTTTTTACCAGGCCTAATTTGGTGGTGTTGTTCATCTTCCAAAGTCAATCCAAATTATTTTTGCAAAAAATTCCACTCAAGCTGGTGCTAGGGGCCGTCTTCTGTAAGGTGAGTGCTTTTACTCTATGTTGAAGGCCTCACTGTGACTTTGAGATGAAGAACAGCAATAAAAGCATTGTTCCTTTGCTTTTTGTGTGTTTTTTTGCTGTGTATGTACTGATTTTGTGTCATGGATTGATACTTCATATCCTTTGTTTTTCTATTATACAAGAAAGTAGTACATATTTCAAACAAAATAGTTCCTATGCATAGCTGTAACTTTGCCAATAAGTAAAATTTTGGGTAATTTTGATATCAAATGAAGGCTTAGGGACTTGGGATCACTGTTGAAACCTTGTTGAAAGTTTCTTTTGAAAAATAAAAAAATATATGAAATTTTAATTGGAGAGCACATTTGCCCTGTTGTTAGATTAGAAGTAGCTGTTTTTGTATTATCAAAATTTTGGGAACCAGTATACTCTAATATGCAATTACAGGTATATTGAATTTCTCAGCACAAGTCAGGATAATGTATAGTTTTGACATGAGATGACTGCTGCTTTATTTGAACTTAGACAAAGTAGCCCTTAATGCTTGAAATTGCAGGATTTAACATAGAAAGCAATGGGGCTATGAATTAGTGGTTTTATTCCTAGTACTGAAAGGCATGTGAAATTCAAATTTTATAAATAATACCAATTACAAACAAAATTGGTCACATTTGTTGTTTGTTATCATGTTCCATGTAACAATTATGTTGGTGTCAAATGACAGCCTTCAAATTGCTACAATAGGGTATTTCAGCCTTTTTTGGTCATTTAGTATGCATACAGTAAAGGTGTAATACCACCATTGATTTTCCCCTATTAGTCTTTGTTAAATTTGCACTTTTCAAAAAATTGTGCAGAATTTATCTTTGTTTCAAATAAAGAAATACTTGGCATGAGTACAGTTTTATCCTGTCCAGTACTATAGAAAAAATTTCACATAACATTTCATTGCATATAAGAAAATAACCATCACTGGAGGCTAACCAATCAAATTTTCCCCCTTTTTTAACCTGTGTACAAGCTTTAGTAACCATGTAACCTCAAGTTTCCAAAATATTCTATAGAAACCCCAAATAAAAAAATTAAAGAACCTTAGTGAGCACGCTCACATACCCCACGTCCCCACATTGTCACTGGAGAAATAAAATAACTGTAAGAAAAAAAAATTGTATAAGAAAAAAAAATTGAATCATAATTTCCTGTCGATATGCACATCTACATAGTATGTCCTTATTATCTACAAAGTTTCATGAAATTCTGTTGTGTGGTTTCAGAGGAGTTGCGATGACAAACTGTTGCAGAGGTATATTGAAGCAAATAAGTTCAAAGGGGCGTAACTCCTAGAAAAAAAATTGAATCGTAATTTCCTGTCGATATGCACATCTACATAGTATGTCCTTATTATCTGAAAAGGTTTCATGAAATTCTATTGTGTGGTTTGAGAGGAGTTGCGATGACAAAAGGTTGCAGTAGTATATTGGGCAAATAAGTTCAATGGGGCGTAACTCCTGGAAAAAAAATTGAATCGTAATTTCCTGTCGATATGCACATCTACGTAGTATGTCCTTATTATCTACAAAGTTTCATGAAATTTTGTTGTGTGGTTTCAGAGGAGTTGAGATGACAAACTGTTGCAGTAGTACATTAAAGTAAATAAGTTCAAAGGGGCGTAACTCCTAGAAAAAAAATTGAATCATAATTTCCTGTCGATAAGCACATCTACGTAGTATGTCCTTATTATCTACAAAGTTTCATGAAATTCTTTTGTGTGGTTTCAGAGGAGTTGCGATGACAAACTGTTACAGAGGTTTATTGAAGCAAATAAGTTCAATGGGGCGTAACTCCTAGAAAAAAAACTGAATCGTAATTTCCTGTCGATATGCACATCTACGTAGTATGTCCTTATTATCTGAAAAGGTTTCATGAAATTCTATTGTGTGGTTTCAGAGGAGTTACGATGACAAAAGGTTGCAGTAGTATATTGGGCAAATAAGTTCAATGGGGCGTAACTCCTGGAAAAAAAATTGAATCGTAATTTCCTGTCGATATGCACATCTACGTAGTATGTCCTTATTATCTACAAAGTTTCATGAAATTTTGTTGTGTGGTTTCAGAGGAGTTGAGATGACAAACTGTTGCAGTAGTACATTAAAGTAAATAAGTTCAAAGGGGCGTAACTCCTAGAAAAAAAATTGAATCATAATTTCCTGTCGATAAGCACATCTACGTAGTATGTCCTTATTATCTACAAAGTTTCATGAAATTCTTTTGTGTGGTTTCAGAGGAGTTGCGATGACAAACTGTTACAGAGGTTTATTGAAGCAAATAAGTTCAATGGGGCGTAACTCCTAGAAAAAAAACTGAATCGTAATTTCCTGTCGATATGCACATCTACGTAGTATGTCCTTATTATCTGAAAAGGTTTCATGAAATTCTATTGTGTGGTTTCAGAGGAGTTACGATGACAAAAGGTTGCAGTAGTATATTGGGCAAATAAGTTCAAAGGGGCGTAACTCCTGGAAAAATAAAATGCTTCGCTGGGCGCAGCTTGATACAACCGCAGAGGTCGAACCCTGAACAGTTGGGGCAAGTATGGACACAACATTCAAGCTTGATACAGCTCTGAATTTGGATTGTGATTAAATATTTGACACAGCATAGGTTTCTGACACAGAAAGAATATGGTCTAAGAACTTCAATTTTTTTAATTTACCTATTATGGTCCAATGTCCAAAATCAAAATACATGGTTAGATTCAGCATATCAAAGAACCCCATATATTCAATTTTTGTTGAAATCAAACAAAGTTTAATTTTGGACCCCAACTTGGACAAACTTGAAAACTGGTCCCATAATCAAAAATCTAAACACATGTTTAGATTCAGCATATCAAAGTACCCCAAGAATTCAATTTTTGTTAAAATCAAACTAAGTTTAATTTTGGACCCTTTGGACCTTAATGTAGACAAATTTAAAAAACGGGACCCTAAATTAAAAATCTAAAAACACAGTTAGATTTGGCATATCAAAGAACCCCAATAATTCAATTTTTGATGAAATCAAACAAAGTTTAATTTTGGACCCTTTTGACCTCAATATGAACCAATTTGATAGCGGGCCCACAAATAAAAATCTAAATACATGGTAAGATTCAGCATATCAAAGAACCCCATATATTCAATTTTTGTTGAAATCAAACAAAGTTTAATTTTGGACCCCAATTTGGACCATCTTGAAAACTGGGCCAAAAATCTAAAATCTAAATACATGTTTAGATTCAGCATATCAAAGAACCCCATATATTCAATTTTTGTTGAAATCAAACAAAGTTTAATTTTGGACCCCAACTTGGACCAACTTGAAAACTGGTCCCATAATCAAAAATCTAAACACATGTTTAGATTCAGCATATCAAAGAACCCCAAAAATTCAATTTTTGTTAAAATCAAACTAAGTTTAATTTTGGACCCTTTGGACCTTAATGTAGACCAATTTAAAAAACAGGACCAAAAATTAAAAATCTAAATACACGGTTAGATTTGGCATATCAAAGAACCCCAATAATTCAATTTTTGATGAAATCAAACAAAGTTTAATTTTGGACCCTTTTGACCTCAATATGAACCAATTTGATAGCGGGCCCACAAATAAAAAATCTAAATACATGGTAAGATTCAGCATATCAAAGAACCCCAT